CAAAATATTTTTAAGACACTGGGAGTGACACATTTTTTTTAGAACTTACTAAACACACTAGACTATTTAAATATAAAAGCTGTGAACCATTACAAATGCAGTTTTAGCTTCCTAGTTTTTATTAATATTTTCTTATATAGCTAAAGAATAATTGTTTTCGTATTAAGGGTGGAATTTTACTTTATGTTAACATTTGATTATCTATTGAGAAATTATCTTCACTATAGCTTTTACATTTATTGACAAATTAATGTGCTAAATTTTCTTGTGTGGAAGGTATCTAGTTGTTCACTAATCATATTTCTATCCACTCATTAAATGGTATTTTAGAGCCCAGACACTCTGAGAAGTCACTTCTGATTTGCCTGGGTCCTTACATCTATCTGACGAAAAATCTGTTGTCTTTCTACCATAGAAAAATGTAGAAAGGAGGTAAAAGCGAATGAGAATGAAGAAATTGAACAGACTTGGGTCTTTATGTGGCTTCGGTATTTAGTTTAATCTTATTCCTGAAGTTTTAGGCATACTTTTTATCAAAAGCAAATATATGAAGCTTGACTTCACTTTTCTATCCTTAATACAACATAAACAAGATATTTGAATAAAATCTTACAGAATATGGTAAACATTCCCATAATAGTTATTAGTCATGTTTTCTGCTAAAAACTGTGTATTTCACTATTTAATAGTTTTATTGGTAAAAATAACTTTACTACAAAGTTCTCTTTCATATTTAATACACAGAGTTCGCCCAGAAATTTTAAAAGTTTACTTACAAATTGATTTACTTCTCTCAGCTAAAAAATAATGCAATTTTTATCAAAGGCAGCTAAATTACAATTACTATTTCATAATGCTATCATATTAATTCATAAGAAACTAGGTTATTATGCTTTTTAACCACGAACACACTTAAATAAGATAGATAAATAACACATTCTGATTTTCTAATATTGCCACACCGGTGAGATGGAATTAGAGACCCCATCGATTAGTTCTAAGCATACCTCTCTAATATAGATCAAAAGTGGGTCTCAGATTCACATAAAATGTCCTAAAACTACTCCCACTTATGATATAACTTAAAATTTTGGAATAACATTCCAATTTAAAATCTTAAGGCTGGTGTTTTCCTCTCACTCTGTTCTTGTAATCACAAAATTATTTGTGTATATCTCTGTCTCTCAATAGATTATAAGCCCCTTCAGGCAGTGAACCAAGCACAGGCTTTTAAAATAAAACAATGGTTGTGTTGCTCTAGAAAAATAAAATATAACTCTGAGCCTGAGTTGTTTTTCATCTGTAAGAAGGGTAAATCAATATCTACCATGTAGGATCTGTGTGAGATTTAAATGAGGGATCACATATAAAGCATCTACCACAATTCTTATTTATTCTCTCTCTCTTATCCCACACCTTGTCACTGTACCAGTGACAGTATCACAATAAATTTTAAATAAATGTAAAAATTACCATGATTTTGTTTTATGGATTAGTATTAGTATACCTTAGTATTTAGATTTTTTTATGAGTACAAAGTAACCCATGGTATATAGAAATGTACTAAAATTTTTACGTTGTGAAATACTCATCAATATATAAACTTAAAAGACAATTTTCTCATTCATAGATATCTGTATTTTTTTAATCTTATATTTTTCATGAATTTTAATTGCTAATACCTAATAAATGGGTGAGTAATTTATTGCTGAATCATGTTCATGTTTTCAAAGTAGTAGTTAAAAGTATAATAAAATTATAGATATTGGGAGATTTTACAGATCATCTAGTTCAATCATTTCATTTTACAAAGGAGAAAACTAAATTCCAGAAAGAGGCAACGACTTGCACAAAATCCAGTAGCAGACATAAATTTTTTTAAATTAAATCAGAGTACCTATGATTTTCCCTTCCTCCACTTTGTTTTTGAGGTGCAGAGCTAGAGAAGCCAAGAGAAGCCAAAGAAAAAATATGGAAGGTGCCCAGTGGGAATATTTGAAGGGACTAGAGGCCACAGAATTTGTCAAAGAGGGCTTAGGACACTAAGAAGTTTAGAGTTAGGGGCCAATTTCTTTTCAGCCCTAAGAAGTAAACATCCACATCTGCATTTGTTTGGGAGGCTACAGTTAGAGTATATTTGCCTAACTGAGGTACATGAGAAATCATCAGAGAAAAAAAGGTGTTTAGGAAGTTAGGAAATAGGTAATAGTTTAAATTTAAAAACATAAAATAAGGGTTAATCATCAGTATTTGAGAATGTCTTAAGTTTTCTTCACAGTTAAGAGCTTGTCTTTATTTTTTGTTTTGTAGAAGCTTTCTCATGTTTTTGATTAAGAAGACTGGGAAAGAACTAGGACTTTAACAGCCATAAAATTTCAGCCTTCTGTATTCAAAATGGAAAAAACAAAATCCAAAAGTATATAAAAATAAAATAAAAACAAAAAATATAATTTCTCTTTCTGCTTTATTTGGGCAAAGGAAGAGGAATTGTAAAGCAGGGTATCAACCACTCACCATCCAATTGATAAATGTTAAACTAAATTTCCTTTCATCTTTAAAATTCTTCCTGACATCTAACATATGTTTTTCATTTCTTGTAAGGGCCAGTTGAGCCTAAAGGTCCAAAGTAATATAATTAGCAGACAATTTGAAGAAGTTGATATGGTTTATATCAACTTTTAAAGTAGTGAAAATATACAAAATAAGTACTGGCACGATTATCAAAACACAGAAAAGGAACACAACATTAACTGCATATATTTGGTAGAAACAAACACACTGCATTTATTAAAAAGTCTAAATAAAATATTTAGTCTTGATTCAGATCTAAACTTTCTTCATCTCTGTACCATGCATACTGGAAACCTATTCAAGCAATATCGTGTAATCAGAAAATGTTAGTAACCTCAAAACTTTGTATGTCGTTCACACACAGCGTGAAAAGAGCTAAGGTGCAGCTCTCTAACATAAAACCAATATATTTCATTCTTCCCTCAGACCCTGAAATCTTTATCAGAAAAAACGTAAAACCAAAAGTTCTATGAGGACGGGGCTGCATCTGTTTTCTACCCTCCTGAATCTTCAACATCCAGTTTATGTCTGCACACAACTGATTCTCATTGCTCATTTGCTTACAGATTGACTGAATGAAGTACAGAGTTTCCTGAATATTTCAAACTGCTTGTAATTTTATTTTTCCCCATATTAATCTGTAGGATTAGCCTGGCTGCTCCAATGTTTGCAAACTGGAAATATTTTTGGTTCATTATTTAAAAGAGATAATGCAACACCTTTGAATTCTATGAAGCTAGCAGTTGATGAGCTAATGAATAAATTCAGATGATAAACACAAATCAGTAAGAGTTTAGTACACATTGGGTTTTTATATGTATTGTCTGAAGACATAAGGGCATAAAACCATAAAGGCATTTTCAAGTACCAATAGATCAGGCCAATTGTGGAGAGAATAAAAATCCAATGATAAATACACAAACAAAACAATTCCACTATTAACTGTACGATGCTTATTTTCAAACAAGAAACTTGAAAACTCCCTCCTATCAAACCATCAGTTTCCTGAAGGCTTGGATTGTGCCTGTCTTGGTATCCTCACTGTCTAAAACTTTCTGCTCTCAGGATGTCTTCACACTTTTAAAAGTTCTTGAGAACCTCAAAAGCTTTTGTTTATGTGGACTATATCATATTCAAAAATTAAAACCTGAAGGGGAGGCTGGGTGGCTCAGTCATTAAGCGTCTGCCTTCGCTCAGGTCATGATCCCAGGGTCCTGGGATTGAGCCCCACATCAGGTTCCCTGCTCCGCGGGAAGCCTGCCTCTCCCTCTCCCACTCCCCCTGCTTGTGTTCCCTCTCTCGCTGTGTCTCTCTCTCTGTCAAATAAATAAATGAAATCCTAAAAAAAAAAAAATTAAAACCTGAAAATTTTTATATCTTTATTAATTCATTTAAAAGTAATAATAAACCCAGTATATGATAATATGGATATCATATTCTTTATGAAAGATCATTATATTTCCCCAAAACTCTTGTGAGATCAATCTTTTACACTTTTGCATATCTGTTTCATGGCTGGCTTGAATGAAAAGAGTTGGATTCTCATAAGCCCTGCATTCCATCAGATCTTACATGTTATTTTAATTGCATTATACGAAATATATTCCACACAGGTATGGAATTGAAGAAGGGATGAACTTATGGATACCCCCAGAGGTCCTCATTTCACACTGTGAAACCACTGACCTGTAATATCATTTGTCATATGGCTATTGTTTAATAACTACTCGCTAAAAGTTAATAAAAAGTTTACAGAAAAAGAAATAAATTTTAAGGGCACACATACATATATCCAAGCATACAAATGATGTGCATATTCATTCTGGATTCAACTGATAAATTATTCTTTATAAATGCTAACTGTTTTGCTACAATAAAGTGTTAATTATCCCAAGTCCTCAACTCATTACAACTAAACTGGGATGCAGATCAAAGGAGGGTATGTGAATGAAAGAGTGAAAAACTCTAACAATAAAGCATGTAATTCCAAAATTTAATAGAAAGAAATAGATGACTAGAATGAGACTTTTCACTTGAGAAAATTCCAAGCATAACCAAATCAAGTAGCTAATTCAAATGCTATGTGGGTCTGTTTAAAGCAGTAAATTAGATTGAAACACTTTACTGAAAACAAGCTGGATTCTAATATTTTTAGTATCTACACGCCATTTCTAATTAATCTATAAAAACCACAAGAAAAAAACATTTTGCTTATATTTTTAGCACTTCTGCTTTAAATATTAATAGGAACTAACCAAATACCAGAGAAAATATATTGATTTGAACATTTTACACTTTCCAAAATCACAATTCTTGTTCTTTAAAAATAGCCTTAAGTAAACTCAGAAATGAAAATATAATTTTTGAGATCAGATATTAGATTTTTTTAAATGATATTTCATCATTTGGCAAAAAATAAAATGACTTACTTCTCCTTTTCTTGAGGCCCATGTACCTGAGAAGCCATTTTAGGTTCTGTCCCAAGATTCTTTTGCATCCGCTGCCTCCTCTTTCTACTTGGTGCAATATCTGTGACATCAGGACTTGAAATAATGGAATCATCTCCTCTTAAAGTAGCTAAAATAAAATGACATAAAAGTGTGACCCAACAAAATTATGCATAAAAAGTAAGAACTTGCTGCACTGATATGAAGTGACACTTAAAATACAGTAAAACTATTTTTAAAAAATTCATGAAGATTTGGTTAAGTGGACCAGTTAGATTATAATACTTTAATACCAATATAAAACATAAAGTATATTATACCTTTATCAAGAAAGGATGCTGCATTCTGTCAAGTACTTATATTCAACTAATCTTAGACAAAGCAGTAAAGAATGCCCAGTGGAAAAAAGACATGTTCAGTTAGCAGAGATTTTAACAATTGATCTCTCTCAATTTGATCAAAATGGTCTCTGCCTATCTTGCACAACAACCCTCCCAAATACATCGAAGGCACAGTTTGATCTTTCAATGCTAGAATTAGATAGGAATGCCTTAGAGGCGCCTCTGTAAGATGTTTTTTTGGGGGGCGCAAATACTGCTATAGGAATAGGATAAATCAAATTGATACTAAACAGTAATTATTAACAGGAATGGAGACTTCTGCTAGTGATCCAGAGATAATTTCATAGACTTTTCAGCCAACTGTAGGGAATGAGAACAGGAAAAATGTCTAACAGATGTCTCTATTGTATCTAAGTCATTAAACTACCCCTAAAAGTGTTTGATATACATGAAACAGAAGCAACAAGAGAAACATGTTTGATTTATATTCCTTTATTCTCTATAAACAACTTAGTTCCAAAGAGCTTTAGGGGAGTTCAGAATTCATTCATCTAATATATAGTATACTTAAGTAAATACATATTTATATAAAAGAGCTCCTTTGCCATTGATAAATAATGAACAATATCAATATAATTTGGACTTTGGATGTCTTGCTGGTTCATATGATTTTTGTCTAGCATGTTAACATTTTAAGGTGATCAAGGGCGAGCTTTCATCCCAATTAAAGAGAAGGCCTTCACAATGTATAAAGTCCTAAAAAGATGGAGATGAGTGGCAAAAATCCTGGACAAGTCAATTCCTGTAGCACAAAGAGGGGTTGGCTCAGTGGAGTCAAGAACCCTAGACTTTTCGGGCGCCTGGGTGGCTCAGTCGTTAAGCGTCTGTCTTCGGCTCAGGTCATGATCCCAGGGTACTGGGATCGAGTCCCACATCGAGCTCCCTGCTCAGTGGGAAGCCTGCTTCTCCCCCTCCCACTCCCCCTGCTTGTGTTCCCTCTCTCGCTGTCTCTCTCTGTTGAAAAATAAATAAAATCTTAAAAAAAAAAAAAAAGAACCCTAGACTTTTCAACAGTTAAGCTTTCTGTTACAGAAAGAAGCTGTGAAAATGTTTCTCCCTGTAGCTGAATCAGATGTTTAATTTTCATCAAACTATTAGAATGCATTCAGTAACTGCCATCTACTCCATTTGAGAGGAAATGTGATGCAAATGGTTAGTGGACTGTGATGTTGGGTGCAAATGTTGCTAGAGAGTTAACGGAGTTAATATTTTCATTAGGATTGTAACTCGGATTGTAACTAGGGAACTAACAACAACAATGTAAAGCTGCATAGATTTTGAGTGGTCTGCCTAAACCTTAATTTTTTTCCCCATAGGCTCTATTATTTTTAGTGTGCAATTCTGCAGAATGAGTGGTTTATCAGGCACACATATATCACATCCTAGAAGAAAAGCTGGTATTTTGAAATCCCACTTGCTGCAGCCCATGCTTCTCTGAGTGACCGGAGATCACTTGGACACTGTTGACCACTCTCTTGAAAGTCTTCTTTGGGTGCTTTTTTTTTTTTTTCTTTGAAATGGCTCCATTTTTTAGAACATATGTGGTAGACACTTTGCTATGGGTTTTAAACATATTATTTTATTAATCTTTAACCTTGTGAAGTACTTAACTATTATTACCTTCATTTTACTTATGAAGAAGCCAAGGCTTTAGAAAGGTTAAGTAACTTGACCAAATCACACAGACTTTGAGTTGATATTTTATCACATGACAACAAAAAAATATTTCTCCTTAGTGGATAAAGTATTCCTTCATCAAATATTTACTGATTACTGATTAAAGGATATTTTACTTTCCAAAGCTATTTGAGTCATTAGGCCACATAAGTTCTACTACATTTCGCATACATTATTTTACTAGCTAGTACTATTCTAGGAATAGAGAAGGGTAGATAACAAAGGGTGTTTCTTTGAATACATCAAGCTGAACAACTTCCATAATTTTATGAAGCCATGAGATGATTATGGAAGATAATTCTGGTTTCCTGATTTTTTTTCGCCAGTCTGCTCTCACCCAGGGTTTACTCAGTCACATAAGCAATAACAAAGTACAGGCTTGCCTATAAACAAAGCTAGTAAGAATGTCAGAGTTAGAAGATATTTCAACTGTAGAAAGACTTGAAAAATGAAAAAAAAAATGCATTTAATGACATGTTGGACATCTAGGAGGTAATAATGTTAAATTTGTTTAAATTAAAATGGTAAGGGTAAGATTAAAAAAAATAAAGTTATCAAAAAGTTCTGCCATTCATTTTAAAACTCCAAATAATGACTTAACACATTGGCACCCAAAAGCATGTTTTATATGTAATATGGTTATACTACTTGTTATGCATATAATTTATAAGTAATTTACTTTAAAATACAATGCAATTAAATGTATGTTGTTAGTCAGGGTGAGCTATAACCCAGGTGTTGCTAGCACCTACTCAAAAATGCACAGCCCATTGAGTTGAAGGTCCATTTCTGGGTCTCTATTCTGTTCCATTGATCTATGTGTCTGTTTTCGTTCCAGTACCATACTGTCTTAATGATCACAGCTTTAAGTCCAGAATTGTGATGCCTCTAGCTTTGGTTTTCTTTTTCAACATTCCTTTGGCTATTCAGGGTCTTTTCTAGTTCCATACAAATTTTAGGATTGTTTGTTCCAGCTCTGTGAAAAATACTAATAGTATTTTGATAGGGATTGCACTGAATGTGTAGATTGCTCTGGACAGCATAGACATTTTTTTTATTATGTTCAGTTAGCAGAGATTTTAACAATATTTGTCCTTCCAATCTATGAGCATGGAATGTTTTTCCATTTCTTTGTGTCTTCAATTACTTTTGTAAGTGTTCTATAGTTTTCAGAGATCCTTTTCCTCTTTGATTAGGTTTATTCTAGGTATCTTATTGTCTTTGGCATAATTATAAATGGGATCAATTCCTTGATTTCTCCTACTTCTGCTTCATTGTTAGTCTATAGAAATGCAACTGACTCCTGTACGTTGATTTTATATCCTATGACTTTGATGAATTCCTATTATCAGTTCTAGCAATTTTTTGGTGGAGTCTTTTGGGTTTTCTATATAGAGTATCATGTCATCTGTGAAGACTGAAAGTTTGATTTGTTCTTTGCCAATTTGGATGTCTTTTATTTATTTTTGTCATCTGATTGCTAGGCTAGGACTTCCAGTATTATGTTGAACAACAGTGGTGAGAGTGAACATCCCTGTCGTGTTCCTGACCTTAGGGGAAAAGATCTCAGTTCTTCTCCATTGAGGATGATATTTGCTGTGGGTATTTCCTGTGTGGCTTTTATGATGTTGAGGTATGTTCCCTCCATCCCTACATGGTAGAGGGTTTTTATCAAGAAAGGATGCTGCATTTTGTCAAGTACTTATATTCAACTAATCTTAGACAAAGCAGTAAAGAATGCCCAGTGGAAAAAAGACAGTCTCTTCAATAAATGGTGTTGGGAAAATTGGACAGACACATGCAGAAGAATGAAACTGGACTATTTTCTTACACCATACACAAAAATAAACTCAAAATGGATGAAAGACCTAAATGTGAGAAAAGAATCTATCAAAATTCTAGGGGAAAACACAGGCAGCAACCTCTTTGACCTCGGCCGCAGCAACTTCTCACTAGGCACATCTCCAAAGGCAAGGGAAACAAAAGCAAAAATGAACTATTGAGACTTCCTCAAAATAAAAAGATTTTTCACAGCAAAGGAAACAGTCAACAAAATCAAAAGACAACCCTACAGAATGGGAGAAGATATTTGCAAATGTCTTATCAGATAAAGGGCTAGTATTCAAAATCCATAAAGAACTCAGCAAACTCAACAGCCAAAGAACAAATAATCCAGTCAAGAGATGGGCAGAAGACATGAACAGATATTTCTCCAAAGAAAATATACAAATGGCCAACAGACACATGAAAATTTTAATCAACATCACTCGGCATCAGGGAAATACATATCAAAACCACAATGAGATACCACCTCACACCAGTCAGAATGGCTAAAATTAACAACACAGGAAACAACAGATGTTGGCAAGGATGCGAAGAAAGGGGAACCCTCTTAACTGTTAGTGGGAATGCAAACTGGTGCAGCCACTCTGGAAAACAGTATGGAGTTTCCTCAAAAAGTTAAAAATAGTACTCTATGATCCAGCAATTGCACTACTAGGTATTTATTCAAAGGATACAAAAATTGTAATTTGAAGGGGCACATGCACCCCAGTGTTTATAGCAGCAATGTCCATAATAGCCAAGATATGGAAAGAGCCCAGATGTCCATCAAGTGATGAATGGATAAAGAAAATGTACACACACACAGGAATATTCGGCCATCAAAAAAACTGAAATCTTGCCATTTGCAACAATATGGACGGAACTAGAGGGTATTATGCTAAGTGAAATAAGTCAGAGAAAGACAATTATCATATGATCTCACTCATGTGGAATTTAAGAAACAAAACAGATGAACATAGAAGAAAGGAAGGAAAAATAAAATTAGATGAAAACAGAGAGGAAGGTAAACCATAAGAGACTCTTTAACTCTACGAAACAATCTGAGGGTTGCTGGAGGGGAGATGGATAGGGAATGGCTTAACTGGGTGATGGGCATGAAGGAGAGCACTTAATGTAATGGGCACTGGGTGTTATATGCAACTGATGAATCACAAAATTCTATCCCTGAAACTAATAATACACTATATGTTAACTAAATTGAACTTAA